AGAAGAGAAGACTGCGTGGAGACATCATAGCGACTTTTCAGTATCTGAAGGGCCTGCAAGAATGCTGTGGAGGCACTGTTTATTAGGAACTGCATTAATAGGAAGAGGGGTAATGGGTTTAAATTGAAGGAGGGGAAATTTAGGTTATATATTAGGAAAAAGTCTTTTCCTGTGAGGGTGGTGAGACACTGGCACAGGTTGCCCAGGGAAATATTGTCTGCCCCAACCCTGGCAGTGTTCAAAGCCAGGCTGGATGAAGCCCTGAGCAACCTGCTCTAGTGGGAGGTGTTGGGACAAGATGATCTGTAAGGTCCATTCCAACCCCTAAAATTCTATGATTCTTTGGCCAAGGAAACTGCAGTGGTTTGGGTTACAGATAGTTTCCAAAATTTTGTGTTTAGTGATTGCTGAAGGATTGCTACAGGAAAGATGGAGAGGGATGTTTTACAAGAGCGTGTAGTGACAGGGCAAGGGGGAATGGCTTCAAACTGAAAGAGAGTAGGTTTAGATTAGATATTAGGAAGAAATTCTTTACTGTGAGGGTGGTGAAGCACTGGAACAGTTTGCCCAGAGAAGCTGTGGATGCATCCCTGGAAGCATTCAAGGCCAGGCTGGATGAAGCTCTGAGCAACCTGATCTAGAGGATCTAGAAGATCTTCAAGGCCCATTCCAACCCAAACCATTCTATGATTCTAATGGGGATCTGAATATCCATGAACTGAGGCCTGTTAATTAGAAGCCTATTTTTCTTAATTACTTTTTAATGGTGATTAAGATTCTTTTAAATGTCACCCGTAGCAACATTTAAAATACGGCTATTACCATGTTTTGGTAATAGCTATTTTAAGATAGTGGCTTTCATGAAAAAAATTATAATTTGCTCTCTTCTTGTAGTGATTTCCACTCCTGTCAAACCACTGGAGAAAATGGTGTGTCAGCCTCAAGTGCTTAAGTCAGATTTGCTAATGTGGAACTGAACAGTTCAGTTGTGCCATAGCTGACCTTAGTGGCACATGGATTTGGCAGATAGTTCTTTGTTTCAGTTTCTGGAATGTACACAGAGGAATCTTCTTAGTCTCGTTAAATGTATTTTCATTCACCTTGCTTTTACCTCTCCTGAGGCTAGTGAGGCCTTCTCTGGAGAAACTGGCTGCTCATGTCTTGGATGGATGCCGTGTTTGCTGGGTAAAACACTGGATGTCCAGACACAGAGCGGGATGTTGGATGGAGTTACACCCACCTGGTGGCCAGTCGCTAGTAGTGTCCCTCAAGGATCAGTATTGGAGCCACTCCTGTGTGGTATCTACTGACAGCCTGGATGAGGGGATGGAGTGCACTCTTAATAAGTTCACAAATGACATTGAGTTGGGTGGGAGTGTGGATCTGCTGGAGGGTAGGAAGGCTCTGCAGTGGGATCTGGACAGTCTGGATCAATGGGCTGAAGCCAGTGGCATGAGGTTTGACAAGGCCAGGTGCCAGGTCCTGCCCTTGAGTCACAACAACCCCATGCAGTGCTACAGGCTGGGGGCAGAGTGGCTGGAAAGCAGCCCAGTGGAAAATGACTGGTAGCCAGCTGAATATGAGCCAGCAGTGTGCCCAGGTGGCCAAGAATGCCAACGGCATCCTTCCTGGTTTGTATGAGAAATAGTGTCTAGTAGGACCAGGGAAGTGATTGTCCCTCTATACTCTACTGGTGAGGCCACACCTTGAGTACTGTGTCCAGTTCTGGGCTACCCACTTCATGAAAGACATTGAGATGTTGGAATGCAGCATATCTGGAGAAGGGCAATGGAGCTGGTGAAGGGTGTGGAATACAAGTCAGTGAGGAGTGGCCAAGGGTGTTTAGCCTGGAGAAAACAAGGCTCTGGGAGGACCTGATTGCTGTCTACAACTACTTGAAAGGAGGGTCTGTCAAGTAATAGGACAAGAAGAAATGGCATCAAGTTGCACCAGGGGAGGTTTAGTTTGGATATTAGGAAAAATTTCTTCATGGAAAGGGTTTTCAAGTACTGGAACAGGCTGCCCAGGGAAGTGGTTGAGTCACCATCCCTGGAGGTGTTTAAAAGACGTAGATGTGGCAGTTAAGGACATGGTTGAGTGGTGGACTTGGCAGTGCTGGCTTAATGGTTGGACTCTATGATCTTAAAGGTCTTGTCCAACCTAAACAATTCTGTGGTTCTAACTTGTTTGGAAAAGTCTCATATCTTGAAATATTATGCTGTAAAAAAAATTACCATATAATAAGCTATATTAATGTTAAATTTTTTAACATAGCAACATAATACTTTTTTACAAAAACTGGATATCTGCCTTAAAAGAGGTAAAACCTATAAACTTATGTCCTTTCTTCCATCTTTATCCTATGCTCACTGCCTAGAACAATCTTCTCAAGCTACTTCTGACCAATAGTTCTTTAGTTTTTGCAGTTACAGGTAAGAAAACATGAATCCTGTGAGTGAGTCATTTTTCTGTAATGTCTTGATAAGTAAAGTAGGTAGTGGTAGGGAGGGAAAGAAGTATATGGAGCCTCTTGGTAATAAAGGTCAGAGTGTATATCAAGTGGTGTGTGTGTGTGTGTGCATTTATATATAGTGTATGTATATATGTGCATGAGTATAAATAAGTGTATTTATATTTAAACCAGAATGTGAAATAGGATGGTTGGATATTTTCTGCAGGGATCCTGCTTGTTTGGTTCATGCAGTACCTTGTTCAGTTGGGTCTGTGGCACTGGCTGTGGCTTTCCTGCTGGAGGTTATAAATACTGGTGTGTGTCTTCTACCGGCTTGGCAAAGTAGGAGAGCACAGCAGTGTCTTCTGCACTTTTCACATACTCTGCCAGGGTTGTTTTATTAAACTGGGAAAACAACAAAGTCTTTGTGCTGGTTTTAGCCGGGATGAAGTTAATTTTCTCAGTAGCTAGTGTAGTGCAGGGTTTGGATTCAGAGTAATAATACTGATGATACTATACTGATCTTTTGATTTCTGCTAAGTTGTGTTTATCCTAAATCAAGGGCATTTTTCTTTCTTGTGTCTTATGCTCTGCCAGTGAGGAGGTACACAGGAAAACTGGGAGCGTGTTGATGATGTGTCTTCTAAATTACCACGGTCAAAAGAATATTTATTCCAAAAGAAGCACTGCTTCCACTGAACTATAACTGACCGATCTCTCACTTTGTTTTTCTGTGCAGATTGGCTGAAGAGTTACACATGCCTTCCCTGCCAGAGATGATGTTTGGAGACAATATCCTAAGAATACAGCATGATCGTGGTTTTGGAATTGAGTTCAATGCTACAGATGCTTTAAAATGTGTCAATAATTGTCAAGGTATGATCAAAGTCGCTTGTGCAGAAGAGTGGCAGGAGAGCAGGTACAGTATTCTATCACCAGTGGGCAAGTTCTGGTGTGTTATATGTGAAACTGTCATAAAGTAGTTAAATGAGCAGACTGAACTCTTAAAGACCACGTTGCATTTGGTTCTACCTTGGATACAGTCTGTGATCACAGAAGTCACTTAGCTCTTCTTTGCAGTGATCATCCTGTCTGTTAAACTGGGTCAACTATATTTTTCAGTTGTGTCTTGGCTTTCTTAAAATAAACCTCAGGTTTAACATGGTTTATTGCTGTTGCTGTTTATTCAAACTCCTAGGGCCTCGAGCATGACAAGATTGTGTTGCGTGGTGTTGCAAAGTGCAAACTGCTGCACATCTTCAAAATCCTAGCCTTAGGAGTATAGCAGAACAATTACCATGCAGGAGGACTAATTGTGCTGCTTCCTATTTAACAAATTAGTTGTAGAGCACCTGGAAATACAGCACAGAGAGAAAGCAAAGCTGTCATGAAAACTGAAGCAAATTGCGGAGTTAATGATTGCTGTGTGTTGTCAGCAAATCACTTTCTGCCTATTTAAAGAAGAAATGATATTGAAATACAACATTTTCAGCAATATTGCGCGAAAATCATTATTTTGACTCACAGAATTGAGGTAGTGTTAGCACAGGAATTCTCATAATGGTTTTTCAAGTTATTATGGAAACAGATGTTGTGAAACTGTATGATTAAGTCTTGACATTGTCACTGCAGCACAGACAATGCTGCTGTTGTTCTTCAAGAAGAGTGTGGGAATTGTAATACATAGTCCTACATGAGGTAGTAATTTTTAAAGAATGACTATAAAGCTGTTTTCTCTTTCACTTTTTGAGGAGTGAGACTGAGCACACTAAGGAAGTTGTCAAGCCATATGACTGGACGTACACAACAGACTACAAGGGAACATTGCTGGGAGACACTGCAACATTAAAGGTAACAATTTTCTCCTTATTAAATGCTGACTACATGTTGTTTCAGTCAAACACTTCTTTTCTTAAGCTGTCATTTACCTTTCAATAGGCTTCTGTAAATTCCTTTGTACTTCGTAGTTTCTGATTTCGAAGTATAGTGTGGGCTTACCATATATCTCAGCATCTTATCCTAATTAAATCAGGGCTTATTTTAATGACTGGAATGTGTGTGTGTATGTATCTGTATTAAAGCATTTTAGGATGATATAAAAGGGTGCCACTGTGTTCCTTCCAAGGAAGGATTTGGAAAGTATGGCACATGGGAATCTTTAGTGCTTGTTGGGTGCCCTCTGAAGCCCTGAGCTCATCTCACACACAGAGCTATCAACTATGTAATTTTATAGTACCTTTGAGCTCTGGTGCTTGCCTGTCTGTCTCAGCAGATACGTGGATCTGGCTGCTTCCAGTGATTTTCTGCAATAATAACTCCTCATATTTAAACTCACAGTCCCTCCCATGTCTTTGTTTACTTGAAAATAAGGCTGAAGTTCCCAGCTTCTCTTTACTGTGTCCAGATTGCTTGCGACCAAGCTGATAATCTGTATTAATTCACTAGGTTGCTTTAGTTAGAGGTCATTTGGGTTATTCTGGAATTAAAAGTTCAGCATAGAAATAAGCAATGTCTTGTTGGCCTGTAGTCTTTAGGCAGCAGAGGTGTATTAGTGTCCATGGAGACCATGAGATGGAAAACATATAGGCTCTTGATTTCCATGGAAAGGCATTATTAGAAGCCTTTTCAAGGTTTGTAGTGGGCTAGAGATACTAAATGCGTGGACTCCTGTTTATAAACCCAGACTGCTTCTCATTTGTATGTTAAACACAAGGCATTTTCAAATGTTTTTAAGGAAACATGTGAAAGAAAGTGAGCAGAATTATTTGCAGCTGAAACCCTCCTGAGCCCATACCCAGAGGAAAGTTTATTCAGAGTTTTCCACTCTTAGTTTTTCCTTTGCTTGATGCTTTGCTCTTGGAAACTTTGATTTTAATTTTTTCTTGCAGAATTTTGGGATGTTCAGTGCCCTAAATGCTTTGTCCTTTCTAAAACTGGGGAAATCAAAGGATCGGGACAAAGTTCATGTAGTTAGGCAACAAACCAATATGCTAACTGTTCTAAATATTTTTTTTCTTTAGGTTGTTCCTACAACAGAACACATAAATACAGAGAAATTGAAAGCCAGGGAACAGATTATGTTTTTTGAGGAAGTACTTCTGTTTGAGGATGAACTTCATGATCATGGAGTATCAAGTTTGAGTGTCAAAATAGTGAGTACTGAGATGATATACAGAATCCTTGGTCACTCAGTTGGCTAAGTAATGCAAAGTGCAGTTGATTTTTGCATGTTGTTCCTTCTGCAATTTAAACTTTTAACGCAATGTTCTTTATCCTCACTCTAAAAAATACAATCTTACTGGAAATTCTGTCTTGAAATCTGTCATCTGTCACATGTTTCAGGGAACAGCCTTTTCCCTCTTTCTACATCCTGCCTAAGTCTTTTGACACAGTGTCCCTGCTGTCCTGAGATAGCTGTAGCACATCAACAGCCCAAATCTTGACTTTACTGCTGAGAGCTCCTCATCCTGTATTTTGTTGTGAATATCTGACATGGATAAGTGCATACTTAAAGGAAAACTTTGTAATATGCTGAGTGGAACATCTTTATTTTTGCAGAGAGTTATGCCTTCCAGCTTTTTTGTGCTGTTGAGGTTTTTCTTGCGAGTCGATGGGGTACTTATCAGGATGAATGACACAAGGCTTCATCATGAGGTAAACTCTTGTTTTCCATCATGACTGTTTTACAGAGGTTCCCTTGCCATGTTACTTTCAGAGACCTGCTGATATTCCTCTGATTTAATACTGATGTTTGAGGGCACAGAGGTTACCTGAACTGGACTTTCAAGTATGTTTTATTACTGTTGTGGTGCTGACCTAGCAAGCAAGCTCTGCATGCCATGGCAGTAGGTGTAGGCTCAGATTAGAGAGGAAGTACAAGAGGAAAAATAGGCAACAGTAAATAGTATGATACTGTTCTTAGCCTTGTCTCCAAGTAAACTATTTTTGGCTTGTCAGATAGAATTAGGCTGCAAGTGTTAACTTGTCCATACTACACTGAGTTCTGGTATCTCATAACTAACACAGAATGTGAGATTTGGGGTTTTGTTATTCTGTCTAGCTGTATTCACACTGGTGTAGGAGTACTAGCTCAGTGAAAACTAACAAGCATATTCATAGAAGTTTTTTTTTGATGCATGCACACAGAAAGGTGGTTTTGGAAAAAGAGAACATTGCTATCATCTTTCTCTGTCTGTGTGAATTTGAATGTAAATTTCTGCTAGCAGGTGAAAATCTGTGGTCAGCTAAATTCATATGCTTCCTAAATTGAATGTATTTTAAATGCTTATTTTGCACTGACACCAGATAATATTTTTTCCCTTTAGGCTGACAAGGCTTACATGTTGCGAGAATACACTTCCAGAGAAAGCAAAATATCAAGTTTAAAGGTATTGCATTTTTTCAATTCTTTTTTCTGTCTGGTTTTTTTTTGTTTATGGTGCACAGAAAATACTGTGTCTCTAAGTCATTCTTTGTTAGGATTGGAATTGATACAGAGTTTAAAAATCTTTCTGCTTATGCAGCATTTGTTTTAGTGATTTCAGGGCAGATTTGCATTTGTAAATGCTCAGAGCACATGACAATATACAGGATTGGGTTACTTTGTCTACTTTTGAATTAACAAAGTGTTTTGTATGATTTTATATTTTTCATAGAACTGTTCAGCCACAAAGTCAGACATTCCATGTCCGGTGATGCTAAACTTCAGGGCTGGTTGTGTGCTTGCAGGCAGTATTAGGGGTTAGGATCTTTTTGGTAATAGTCTCATTCAGTTTTTCTTAAATGAGTTTAACAAGTCACCTTAAAACTTCAGTGATGGTTCAGAAAAATTTGGAGCTGCAGCTGTTGATTTTTATTCTTGACTCAACACCTGGTCTTTCATATTCTTGTAACTTTCCTTCTCCCTTGTTTTTCCTTCGCCTGTCAAAAGTGACTAATGTGTTACTAACCTTCCAAGGGAATATTTTTGTAAAATGCTTTTTTTTTTTCTTTTGAGGAAAAGGACACTGTATCATTCCTTAACAATATGTGATCCCTATAAACAGGACTGAATCCAGACATACTAATCAGTGATCCAGGCTTTTCTTAACCTCATGTTTAAAAATTAACATCTATGCTGTTAAAACATTTTTCCTGCCTGCTGTTACAGAGAGGAAATGCATATGGCTTTTCAGTTCCCTAGATCAGCTTGCATAGGTGGAGGAAAAAAGATTCCTACTTCACTGAGATTTGAAATAATTGATACAGCAGTATGTTTCCTTGCATGGTAGGGGTGCCCAAAATACAGGTTTCATTTGAATAGCTCTGGATGAGCTTCTGAAAGAATGTTGTTGGAAGGTTTGAAGGTTATATATATGCTTGGTACAGATTTTTTTTTGGTATCAAATGTCTTGTAGATGGTGAAGTTGTCTACAGGGATGTCTAGAGTAAGATACTGATTAACTTAATGAAACCACCTTATTTCTTAAAACATGAAATTAAAATCCAGCGAGTTTTAATATTTCATATAAATGTCTGTGGTGGACTTTACAAAACTAAGATTCATGTTGAGACACAGCAGTTATCAATAGCTAAATCTAAGCTCCAGTGAATGTATTACAGTGGCTAGAAGACATGGAATCCATTGTGGCCATCCTAGTCTCATCTAGAACTAGAACCTTAAAAAGACTGTTATATTCAAATTTTAAATATATTTTGTAAAACCACTGTAGCTGTTTATAGATGTCTTTCCACTCTTTACAATCCGCTACTTAAAAACATTAGATACCTTTCCTTAGCCTATTGTTCCACACAAGGAGTGTATGTCCATTTGAAGTCATAAGGTAAATTTTAATAATCATACCTGACTTCAGGTGTTTGCATAAGGTAAATTATAGATTATTTGTCTGTAAAAGTTTGGTTTTGGAATACTTTTCTTTCTCTCTCCTTCATTCACTTGTTTCATGTAAAATTTTTGCTTCATAGCATGTTCCACCTTCTCTGTTCACGGAGCCTAACGAAATCTCTCAGTATCTACCCATAAAGGAGACAATCTGTGAAAAACTAGAATTCCCAGAGAAGCTGGAGCCTAAACCAGAAGCCCCACTGGAAACCATGTGTGTTAAGTCTAAATAAACGTGACTTTATATGGACTCGAAGTAGACTGAAGATAATGTGATCACATAATCATTGTCAAGGGGGGCATTTCACTGCTAGTGGAATGAAGAATTTGGCTAATTTTTCTGTAGCCTTGAGAGAAAACATTTCAAGCAGGTTTTGCTAATGGTGTTTTTTGTGTTTTTTTTAACCTGTATCTGGAGTTGGTGATGGGCTGGTGGTGAGTTACAGTTTTCAGTGGCACTGGAGAAATCATGATGAGTCTGGGTTCAGGAGCATTGTCTGGACCCTCCACCACTAGCACTTCTATGATTTAGTTATTGCTGCTTCAGATACTAAGAGACTGCTGGAATTGTAAAATTGGCATGATTTTATTTTTAGTGAGAAATCATCCACACCATAAAATATGTAAAAATTCCTCTGCATTTATTTTGACCTGTCAGTCCTAAACTACACATTTTGCTTGGCTTCCCCTACTGTGAACTGATACCTACAAAGTTACTTTTTGTAGTCTCTGATCCACAGTCTCACCTAAGAATACTCATTTCATCTGAGGACAAGTTTAAGGATGGGGGGAGAAACACCCCAGCATTTGTTTGACACTACATAAGGGTAAAATGACTTTATTTGTGAGGCATTAACTCCAGAGCAGGAGAAAAGATGGAGGTTAACAGAGAGGCACGCTGGTAAGTCTCTTTGCAAATGCCAGTTTAATCTGATGTCATACAGATTTCTCTAGGCAGTTCTGGAGACACTCACTGGGGGACTGTGTGCTGCTACAGTAATGTATGGTGTGAGAAATGCCTTGGTCTTCACTGACCTTCTGTTGGACGTATTGGACAGTGCCCACAAATGATGGTTGTACTGCCCTGACAGTTACGTTGCCAAATTGCAGCATGGTTTAAGGCTGGGGAAGACAAGGGGGTGTTTAGTCTCTAATCCCTAAAGGATGCTGGTATTTGCAGTTTGAGAAATGAGATCCTGTGTAGCCTTAAAAGGATGCTAACATGTATTCCAGATACATTGTTTTGGTTTATCTTAAAATTCCTGAAGTTCTGATATTAATAGAAGTGTGATCACTTGTATAGTCATGGTTTTAACTCACTTTGTAGATTGAACTTTAGATATTTGTATTGCTTTCTGAAATCCTACCACATGTTAATGGTTTGGCCTGAGAATGGGGCAGCTAAGCAGACTTGGATTGCTGCTGACACTCAGTGCAAGAAGCAAGTAACTGCAGTGAAAAGCAAGCCTTGTGGTTTAAGGTGATTGCAGGTAAGAATGTGTACCCATTCTGATGTCTTGGGGGTTTTGTTTCAAAATCTTCATATTCCACACTGCATGGTTTAATAGAAATAATCTGCCTCAAAAGTTGGTATTTAACGAGAGCTTTTGAGAAACGGTTTTCACTTTGAGAAAACCCTGAGGTTTTTAGAAAAAAAAGAAAGTCTACTGCCATCTAAGTGACTGTTCTCTTAATAAAACCAAACAACACACTTTTTACAACTTTTCTTTGAAGCAGCCTGGTCTAGTGAATTGAGATCAGGTTGAAAGGAAGGAACTAATTGCAGCTTTTCCTGTGTCACTGACTTACTCTATGGGGAAGACACTCCTCTCTGCCTCTGCTCCCTGTATGTAGAAATGAGAGTTAACACATACCGAGGGTCTGTGAGGATTAGTTTGTAAAAAGTTAATGATTAGAGTAGGTTTTTTTCCCCAAATACACCTGCAGCCTTATCTTTGGAATCCTTTGGAAAGGATTACTGAAAAAATCATGTGATCCATTGTATAAAATGAATGAAGAGAACTGAAATGAAACAGTCTCTGAGAGAAATTATTAGCCAGACATGGTCAGGGTGAGTGAATTTATGGCCACTTTGAAATAGAGGTGAAGTCCTCTGTATTCCCCATTATAGTCCTATATTATCTCAGCTTTTTTTTTTTGTCTTCCTGCACTTGTTTCCTAACAATTTCAGGGTGGGGATGAAGAAGGGAGCTGCAAATGAATGCAGTATGGAAGTGATTAAAGTTCATTTGTTAATAGAAGATTATTTAGGTCCACTCCAGTGATATATGATACATGGGTTATGGGGAGGGAGTGAAAAGTAAGGGGAAAAAAATGGGTGTGTAGAGGTATTTTTCAGGTAGAAGTAAATCTTTTACTCTAAGCATATATTATTTTACATGCCTTAAAGCTTATAAAACACACTTCAGAGCTGGTAGAGACTGAGAGGAGAGCTCATGTAGTGCTGGCATGGAGGAAATGGTATCTGCATTCATTGATTAAATTGATTTGGGTTTGGTTGGTGATGCTAATGTTAAGCTCCATTGGGCTAAAATACAGTGTATGGGGAAACCCCCAGCATGGACAGCTGGCGTTGGGAGGAGTACTCTGCATGCTTAGCTTATACTGTGTATTTTACCTTGTCCATCATACATACTAATTTGTGACCTGCTGATCCAGTTGTCTTGAATGGGCTTGTATCCTGACTATATAGGTATGTGATATCCATCTATTTTGGGTGCTGTGCATTTCAGTGGAACACACGTGTTGGGGAAATCACAAGAACACGTTTAGGAAGTTACAGTTACTTACACATTGAAACTTGAAGCACTTTGCGACTTTGTTATACCACACAGATTACCAAGAAGCAGCAGTATAAATGGTGTACTGCAAGCTCTCTGGCACAATTTTTTCCACAGAAAAGTACCACTTTGGATACATAATTTCAAGGGGAGGGAATGGGGTGATTCTCCAGCTGTTTTGTGGCAAGTTTAATGTGGCAATTTCTATTGTTTCTTGTATGTTGCTAAATAAAATGTACCAAATGTTTTATAGTTCGGTTTTTAACTGAGCAAAATAAACTGAAATAACTACTTGTGACGCCGAATTTTGTCTGCTAGTACCATGTTGCATCCACACACCTTTGCCTATCATCGGACCACTAGGAAAGCAAAGTGAGACTTTCAGAGCAGGGGAAGAGCCACAGTAGTGAGAGCAAAATGAAATCTGGATCACTATTTCTGTGAGCTTTGCTGTTGCCAAGTAATGGATTTGAAAGCGATGGGAGGAGATGGGATGCAACTAGAGCTGTTAGACTGGCAGAGGGTGTGGACTCTGCAATCTGGGAAACAGTTCGGATCGCAGCTATCATCTGCGATCTGAGTAAGAAACGCCTGACTTGAGGAAGGTGAGAGTGCTGTCTCTTAAGAAACCCAAACCAAACGTATATATTGCTATGAAGGTAATCTCTCTGCCGCACGGGCTCGGCTCTCGGCGGTGTCACAGGGTGGCAGGAGTGTCCGCCGGAGCAGAGCAGCGTTCCGGGACCTT